TTTCATTGGGAGTGTGCCTGTGAGCCAGCTTCCTAGTGTCGGCAAACAATACGAAGAATTAAATTGTGGCAGAGTGTTGATTTTTTTCATTTCAGTTGCATGGATTATTTTTACCTGCTAGTATGAAGGATGATATCAAAACTGTGTAGTTTGGTTTCCAATTATAAAATCGAGTAATTTGTAATAACCATGCCTGGTAACCAAATATTACAGAGTTTGGTTTCCATTGATAAAGACAAATGTTTTGTGTTAAATAAGCTTATTTTCATTTTGCAGATAAACCCACAGGTTTTAAAGCAACATAACGGTGAGATGCACAGTGCAGGACATTCCTCTTGCTTTACTCCAAATGAGGTCTCGCATGATCAGGACCAAGGTACAGTAAAATGTTTAATTTTTATATCTGATACCATTTTGTATCTTATTATAGTTTTTATCATTTTTTTAGGTCTATTTTTTCTTATAATTTAACTCCAATAGTTATGTGTACCTTTTCTTTCTCTGTGGGTCAGTTTACAAAATGTAAAATAAGCTTGTTTTTTCAAACACAAAGCTACACAATGGGCTATCTGTGCTGTGCCTTCCATGAGTATTGAAACCCATTTTTTTGTGTATCTTGAATAAGAACTATTGTTTTGGTTTACTGTGACATCATTTAGAATGTAATCACTAGAACACTAGAATACACCATTTAAAATTTTGTTAGTCATTCATTAATAAGGATTTTAGTTGAACTCCTTTGCATGTATTGTTAGTGAATAGTGTTTTTCAGTTGTTCACTAGACTTATAAGGCTTTTTTCTTTATGATGACATCACTAAAAAAAAATAAATCCAGGAAAACTGTTTTGTATGCTTTCATTCATGTTTTCTGTATAAACACGAAATTATGTATTTGATGGTGGGAATCTGCTTTGTTGGTCATTATCTCGTTCACTGTGGCTGGTACATATATGGCCTTTGAAGTTTTTTCTGTTCACTGCAGTTGGTACACGCTTGGATTCTTGCTATTAAAATTCCCGTGCGAGATGTTGGATTGTTAATTTTTGTGGTAATGTTGTCCATTGACATTCCGCTATACATCAGATGCACTCAAGATATCAGAGGCCTGTATAACAGCATCTTGCTGCTACAGCAGCAAGAGCCAACGGAGCTGGGATTCAGATTATTTTATGGATTTACTAGATAGCATTGACTCTGAGTTAACATAGTGAACAGAAAAAACATTTAGAGGCCATATATGTACCAGTTACAGTGAATGGGTTAAAATTGTGAGATTTGTATAGATCTGGTCAGATAATAGGGGTGATTAATTGACCCCTGTCTGATAGTGATATTACGAGCAAATTTACAAGTGAACACTTCAAGCTTAGAATATTTGGTTAATGTGAGAAATCACTAGAATACTTTAATAACTGATGGTTGGGTCCTTTAACTGGCAATCTAGGTCATGGGTTCAAATCCCCCTCCTGAAACATGCTTGCTCTTTCACTCATGGGGGTGTTATTATGTGGCAGTCAGTCCCTCTATTCTTTGGTAAAGAGTAATCCAAGAGTTGGGAGTGGGTAATGTTAACTAGCTGCATTCTTTCTATTCTATCATTTTTAAATTAGGGACATCGAATGCAGATAGCCCTAGAGTTGCTTTGTATGAAATTTAAAAAAAAAATTGCCAATAAATCTTGATAAGTCATTACTTATTTAAAAACAAAAACACAGCTGATAAAGTTGTTTCTTCAGTCATTCCTTTAATATCTTTACATTTTCTATTATGAAAAGTGAATGAATTAATCACTTGTGTTATGGAATTTGTTAATTGATTGATCATTGTGGTCATTACTCGATTAAGTGTTAAAAAAAAGAATTGATTATTCTCACATAAGACTTGGATAATTAAAGTTTAAGCAGCAAAAGCTGGTGCATTACTGGAATACAATAAGCCTAAAAATTATTATAAAAATGAAGTTAACAATAGATGATGCTTTTTTTTTTCACATTACACTTAATTTGTCCATTACAGCTCAAAAAACCTAAGACTCTTCGAAACATTATTTATATATGCAGAATAATGCTTTTAAAATTATAGTTTTGTGGCTGATCATCAAGCACAACTGATGTGTTCTGGTATGGAATGAAAAGGCTATTGGGAGACAAAAGATAGATCTGAAATGCTATTTTTACACACCTTAGGTTTTGAGCCACAATGGATGAATTAAGAAAAATGTGGAAAAAAACAACATTTATATTTAAATTTGTTTTTTTAAGACTAGGATCGTTGAAATAATCAAAACCTTAATTTCAATTAGTTTCACTATTTTTATGAGTTATGAAACTAATCAATTAAGCTTAAAAATCTTGAATTAATCAAAAATAATAATGAGAATTAATAATAATGGCAATATTTTGATTACTTGGACAGTTCTACTGATCGAAACCAATGATAAATGGAAAAACTAATTTTGATGATTTTAGTGACATTAATCGATTAGATCATAATTTGCATTCATCAGTTATTTTACATGACACTAGTTGATGTAATTGATGCTTTTAGGTAATCAATTAATTGAGTTAATTGCTCAGCTCTAATTATTATTATTTTGGATATGTTGGTTTGGACACTCAACTTGCAATCTGAAGGTCACAAGATCGAAACTCATTAATGAACATACTTATCATTTCAACTGTGGGAGCATTATAATGCAATAGTCAATCCAATTATTCATTGGTAAAGAGTAGCTCAAGAATTGATGGTGGAAGATGTTGACTAGCTAGCTGCAGTAGCACTTGTCCATCACTTCAAAATAAGAGAAGGCAAGTGCAGATAACCCTCAACAAAACAAATAATCTTTATCATTACTGTGCACATACAGAATATAGTAAGTAGAACTGCTTAAAACATTTTTAAATATAAAACAGTATTGGTAAAATTCTACATAAAAATATCAGTACACTTTCTACAGCATAAACACACACTAATAAAATATAACATTGAACCATACTGCAGTCATTAACCACTAAGTCAACACAAAAACGTCAGATTCTATCACATTGGTATGCCATAGTGATTTTTTCAAGTCTGTTTTTACTTAATTTTTCATTCCTTTAACTCTTCTTTAATTTTTTTTTTATTTTATCTCAGAAAAAATTATTGAATCTATTTTTTAAAGTATGTTTTAAGTGACTTTAATATGTATGTTTGTGTGTATATTTTCAGTTTTTCACAACCAGCCAAAAGAACTAACCCTCACTGACAAAAGTCAATTAACAAAAGTTGTGTACTACATGGAAAAATCTCCTACCCCCTTCATGTCTGTTATTCCTAAGAGGTAGAAATCTTTTTTTTGTAATGTTTGAAGTAAGATATTTTTAGCTTTTATTATTTCCTCAGATTACAAATTGTATTTTAGGTTAAAAAAGAAAGATTATTAAATCCAAAATACTGATTATCTTAAAAAAAATAAGTTTTGTCAAATATTTTAGTTTCTTAATAGGCTGATAAATGTGAGAACAGTTTAAAAAAAATTATTATATGATGGTTAATCCCACTATTTGTTGATAAAAAAAAGTAGACCAAGAGTCGGTGGTGTTGGATAGCTGCCTTCCCTCTAGTCTATCACTTCTAAATTAGGGATGGCTAGGGCAGATAGCCCTCAAGTAGCTTTGTGTAAAATTTTCCAAAAAACAAAAACCTTCTCTATTGTTAAACAAATGCCCTCAGATTGTTGCTTCTTAGTGTTCTCTCTGACTGTTTATTCTTACTGATTTCTAGTAACCAGTGCCCTCTGATTGTTGCTTCTTAGTGTTCCCTCTGACTGTTTATTCTTACTGATTTCTAGTAACCAGTGCCCTCTGATTGTTGCTCATCACTATCTATAATATCTGTTAGTCTAGCTGTTGCCTGCACGTGCACTTACTCGTATCTATTCTTTTAAACCTGAAACTGTGAGAAGTTTAAAAAGAGTCCATCATTATTTTATAATGTTTGATTATATAAAGATAGTTTTCTTGAATCTTGATAGTTGTCAGCAGAGTTAGTTGGGGTTTATTTGCTTAGAAGTTTTCTCTGGTTTAATTGTTTTTTCACCTAAACTTACTACTTTGTATTGGCTGCAGTAATTGTCAGTAGTTGGAAAATAAGTTTGAACTTTTTTTAAACTTTTGTGCAATATCCAGAAATCTAATTTAGTCATAATGTAAACCAATTCATGTAGCATTTTAAATAAAGTGATTTCATTGTTGTACTCTTTACATTAGGATTGGGGATATCAGACTTGGAGATTTTAAAATGTTATTTGACAGATCAGGAAACTTTCGTTACCACTTCAAAACCTATGATAATGAGTTTGGTATAATAAAGGAAGAGGTGAGATTGTGTTTTATTTTATCAATTTTCCAAACTTTTATATGTGATTATTAGATATGCTAAAGTTTATTATGACTTCCAAAGGGTTACAGAAAAGAAACAAAATTTAAGAAAGGTTTTTAAGCAGATGATGATTACTACTACTATTACACTGATTGGTCAATAGAACCAATAGAAATAAAGCTTTGGTAATTGAAAAATTGTGACTTTGAAACAATTTTCAATATTCAAGCAAGTGTAGGATTTCAAGAGTTATCATTTTGACCAAAATAATAAAAATATATAGATAGATTTGGAAATCCACGAAAATGTAAGTAAAGATTTTCAGCATATGATATATATAAACCACATTTGTCTCAGTATATAAAACCTTATGTGTAAGTTATCTCCGTCATCAGGTATAAACCACATTTGTTTCAGTATATAAAACGTTATGTGTAAGTTATCTCCGTCATCAGGTAAAAACCACATTCGTCTCAGTATATAAAACCTTATGTGTAAGTTATCTCCATCAAGCATACTCAATTTGACAGAAATGATTGGGCACTTTTCACAACACCACAATTTCAATAGTAATACGTTTCTGCAAAGGATGGCATAGACAATCTTAGACAACATGCCTTGATGAACTGTGCATGAACTGAAGGTTAACTTCCATGACTACATTTAAGCAAACCAAATATAAAGAAGTCAGTGGTTCACTGTCAAGTGACTTCTAAAATACGTGCGAGAAGAAGATAGCCTGAATACTAACTCCATTTTATGGAAATGCTGTTTTGGACTGAAATACGTAATTTGACACTTTTAATGTATCCTAGGCAATGTGTGTCTTAATGGTTAGCATGCTGAGGCTCTGAATATGTAAGCATGGTTAACATATCATTGCTGCAAAAATGTGGAGCCGTGGGTGTGCTATAAGTGTGATACTCAACTTACACTCTTCAATCAGATACCTGAGAGTTAGGGATGGATTCTGTAGACTACCTGCCTTCCCTTTGGTTTGTCAGTTCAAAATTAATTATACCTTCTAGGCCTAATGACAAAAAATTAAATTTCTTGTAATTGGCATCAATAGCAACTAAAAATCTATCTTTGCTTTCCTGTAGTGCATGATGTTTACATTTCCCCATAAAAAACCTGTACCAGTCATAAAACTTGTGTCATATCAGCTGGAAAGCCCTAATCACCTTATGGTTGGTACCAAATCACCTGTTTCTTATCACAGCATACAAGTTCACCCAGACCTCATTCAAATTTCCACATTTCACAAGCATGTGTTTCTCTTATAATTGTTTCTTTGGAGCAGCTTCTACAGTGTGACTTATGATTCTTTACAATGGTAAAATCTTTATGAATTCATCTTGTACACGATTATTTGGAATATGTGCTATTTGTAAGTAACTGCTTTCTATGGAAGAGGGAATCCTTTATAAGTTTTGGCGGTAGAAGTCCTGGGTGTGGAGGGATGAATTAAGCACTTTTATGTCCTTGTATGGATATACTGATCTTCCCTTGCCACAATGCTGTTAACAGTATATTATTCTTTAATTGATGTGCTCCAAACCTTGCATATCTTTGCTATATACTTGGAAGAGCTGTGCCATAATGCTCCAGCTATAATTCTCACACACGCATATATATGTTGCCTTGAGTCATATCTGCAACAAGATACAACTGTAGTATGTGCATTTCATTCTTATAAATTTGCAGTTAACTGTTCTTGCCTTCATACATTATTCAGACTTTCTCCCTACATACCTACTTATTCTGTTATGTGTAAAGTTCTGTATATTTCAGATAGGCTCAGTACACTGTGATAAAATGAGACTAGTGTAACAATGATTAACTATCAATATAAATAATATGTTTGCATTTGTCTGTTTAGAACTTACAAATGTTTTGATCAAATGCTACAAATCTCCTATTGGCTCTTCAATTCAGAATAACCTTACCTGTTTGTTTATGTGTTGTCAAATTTTTAAATGCAATGAGTATGGTACACGATGGCATAATTTGTTGTCATCGCACGATGACTGGCTTTGATTTAAACTCTAGTTTGCAAAGTATTTCACACAAACAACACTTAACCCTTACAAAAAAATTATGCTATATACAATTTTTATGGTCTTTATCAGCTTATTCGGGTTTAAAATACGCATGTACAGTTTGTTCAAAATTATATTCTTATCACTTTGTGAACACATATTCGGACGTTTCTGCATATTTAGCTAAGTTTGCCTTCATTACAACTTTAAATTTACTTTACTTTGTAATAATTTACCTTTGGTTCGTTTCATAGACTGATGACATACATCTTTTAGCTACTTTTTTCTTTAGTACGGGTTTCATTTATCATTTTTGTGAGTTTCTTTGTTTCAACTCTTAAATCTATGTCATACAGTGAATGCTCATTACTGTTTAATACTCTGTACACTATTATAAGTAACATTACTTTATTGTTTACTTTAGGTGTAGTTTTTATTAAGTAAAGTTGTGTACATGTAGTTTTATTAAATAAAGTTATGTCTGTGTGAGTTTGTTTGTCTGACTGTGTAAGATTTGTTCAAATAGACCAGGATTTATCGATATAACATAATGCCTGCAAGAAAGCATAGCTTAAATGGCATGCATGAAAATGATAGAATAAGGAAAATTCAAGTGAAGGGCATGAAAATTACCACAAATATTTTGTGGGTCAAGTATAGTTTGTTTATTATTAAATCATATACATTTCAGGTTATGCATGATGATGAGATTCTTCCTGGCTGGGATGGGAAGATTATTGCTTGGGTTGAAGAGGATGTTGAATAGTCCCAATTAGTAACTTATTGAATTTTTTTTTTTTAAACAGTACTTCATATCCAACTTTGTGTTTTTTGACACATAAAAAAAAAAACACTGAATTTAAAGTTCACAAAGTCTCCATAATGGCATTAACAAATAATTTCTTGTTTTGGAACTTTACTTTGTATTAAGAGAAAAGAACTTAACAATGATAAATGATTTTCGTAAACTTATCCAAGCTCTAAAAAGTATGAAGTTGAAAAAAAAGCTCTTTGAAATGTATGACAAAACTGTTTGCTAGTGAAAAGTAACTTCGATCGAGTATTAGTTCAGTTTTTATTGTGTATACTGTTTAAATATACATTTGTTATTTTTGTTTAAATGTTGTCTTGTGGAATGATATTGTGTCGCCAAACTGAAAGTTGTTTATATAGTTAATTACTAATAAGGATAATGTATTTTTAAACTATGCAAATGTTTAAAATTAAAAAATGCTAAATACAGTGTGGATTTTATATTCTGAATATCAAAAAAACACAGTCACAACATTCAAATCAACATCGGGCGTTTTCTGTTTGTTTTTTATTCACTTGGTTTGACTTCCTTTAATATTGAGTTAGAGGAATCAGTTCAGGACGGTTAATTTAACCATAATTAATTTTTAAGTACCGAGTGTGAAAAGTGTATTAAAGTTGACAAGTTTTAGATAAGTTATAGGGAATGAGAAATATTAAAAAATTTCATTTCAATATCCTCCTCTATGAATGTCTAAAAAAACTAATGCCAATGCTTTCATACAGTCAAGCACTTTAAACCCTTTCTGTACCACATTTATAGACAAACAACTCTGCCAGTTCCAAGTTTACTTTTTTGATAGATAATAAAAACAAAATCACACGTTTTAATAGTTCATTAGTTATCTGAAAGTAACTTTGGAAAGATTGAAGGAGAATAATCTTTCTTCAAAACTCCAAACTGCCAAGGCCCGGTATGGCCAGGTAATTTTTTCGCTACAAGTTCTATAGAGAAACAGCTCCCTCAGTGACAAGTTTATTTTGACATATTAATATCAAATGTTTCAGAAATGAATGTCTGAAATATTTCACATATGATTATGTTCTCAGATTGTAAAAACTGTCAAGTAAAAATCATTATTTTTATTATTAATTATCAAATTAATGGTTTATTGCATGGCTATTTCTGAAAACATTTTATAATTACTTTTAAAGTCTAAATCGAAAGTTATGGCAGTGCTCTAAATATTGAAAAATATGTGCTCATGGCAGTTTGGTTTGTTTGTTTGTTTTTGAATTTCGCCCAAAGCTACACGAGGGCTATGAGCGCTAGCCATCCCTAATTTAGCAGTGTAAGACTAGAGGGAAGGCAGCTAATCATCACCACCCACTGCCAACTTTTGGGTTACTCTTTTACCAACAAATAGTGGGATTGACTGTCACATTATAATGCTCCATGGCTGAAAGGGCGAGCATGTTTGGTGGAACGGGGATTCGAACACGCGACCCTCAGATTTCGAGTCGAGCGCCTTAACCGATAACTTTGTCATCCTCACATTTTATAAATATTAATTAATAACAAATATATAATCCTTTGAAGAAAGATTTAAGATTTGTTTATGAAAACTTATGGCAATAATTTTTTCAATAGAGAAATCCCTATTTTGGACTTTCAGCTGTTTCATTAGTGTTTTTTATTTTTCCCCTTGTAAGATCTTTGGATGTTAAACCGGTGATTTTGTGTTTAGTTAATTTAAAACATCATTGCTGATGTATTCTTCCTTTTGAATTAGTATGACATAACACTGGAATAGTTTCTTTTTTGTGTTATCTGGAAAATATATTATGGATTTTAATTTATAGAAATGATGTATAATTCTGTTCACATGTGAGCATTTTTGTTTTAACATATTTGTAAGATTTAGCAACTAACAATCATGGAGTGCCAAGACTTATATTTCTCACATTAATCATGAAATTTTAGTGCTATTATTAATGAATATTAAATGTAAAGTTACAACTAGTAGATGCTGCAGTGATTTTGTATTTTGTACATACCTACCTGTATTAACACAAAGACAAATGAATAAATATAATGTGTAGAATCAAACTGTTTGTTGAAACATTTTTAACCCTCAAATTAGATTTGTTGAGTCACATTTTATGCATGTCTGAATCATGATTAACAAAAATTGAAAATAGAAAAAAAAGATTTAAATGTCATTGTATCACTTATTTTAGCAGCTTGTATTTGCCTGTGGAATTTGTTTGTTTCTTTGTTTTTAAGCACAAAGCTACACGATGGACTATTTATGCTGTGCCTACCATGGGTATCAAAACCTAGATTTTTAGCATTATAAGCTGTCATAATTACTGCTGAGCCTCTGTGTGTGTGTTTGGGGGGGGGGGGGCTGCCTGAGGAAAGAGGACTGTTTTTAAAAACATAGCCCTATGTCTTACAGTTTGGTGGCATACACTGGCATAAATGTGTTTCAAAGTTCGAGATTTATTTTTGTTAGTTTTTATTATAGAAATATTTTCCTAATTTGAAAAGATATATTTTGATACATAAACATTTGTTTGTGTTTATACATTATGGTTACAGAGTAAACCTTGTATTTAAAATATTTACATCTTTAAAAGTACTTGTCCTAAATTTCGTGATTTGAGAATCATAACTTTTATTCAGAAAAGTTTGGATGTGGCGCATGGTGTTTCAAAAAAAAAACACTGTTATAGATGGTGTTCAGTATGCTTTTTATTATTATTAAATCAGCATCTCAGACTTAACCCTACTTAAAGTTAGTGTAAGAATCATCTATTCAGGGCAATATTTGTTGACCGTCAATATTCAGTACACTGAAATACTTTTTTCAAATCATAAGTCTTATTTTCGTGAAAGAGAAAGAATGAAGGGAAATAAAAGCAGTACTAGTTAGCAAGGAACGTGATTTAGGTATACAACGTAGCGCTGTTTTGAAACATTCTATAACAAGCCCAAACTTACTTGAATATAAATGTACAATTTTCAACGTGCTACTGGTAGAAATGTGTCCCCCCCTAGAACAAGTAGTTTGTAAGACACAATCATTTTAAATAAAAGCTTTTCTTTATAATTAGCTTGTATGTTATGGTATAACCTATATGAGAGATGGACAAATGGCAGCTCAGGAGTGGCACCAATCCTGCCAAAAAACTATTTACCTGGCACACCAACAGTTGGCAAGTTCACCCTATTATGTATTGGCATCACTGGACCAAAGTGTTTAGCTGTAATATAACATGTAAATTTTTATTAAAAATAAATTTAGTACATTATTTGCTACTTTTGGACTGAAATATTGATGATGTTTAATAGTAATTAAAAAAAATCAATGTTTTATATTTACACAATTTTAAAAATTATTGAAGTTCCCAATGGCTTCCACGTTAAATACACGCTCTACATGTACATTGTTTCAACATCCTGTATTTCATATTCAGGAGTTAATTACAAGACACAATAATTTATAATTTTTCCCATGTCATGATATTACAATGCATTGTTATTTAGGTAATTCCTTGGTCAACCTTTAAAATACATCATGCCAAATATCAATGCACTGACTTGGTGACCCTTCATCTCTGTTTAATACTTCTTTTTGTTTTTTCAATTTGATTATATCTAGTGATTCTCTGACGTTTAAAGCTATAATATTGTGAGGTTGAGCTAAAATTGTGTTGTATTGCTTTTACGTGTTCTGCTTTAGCCAAGTTTTCTATTTTATTATTTTTTACGTAACCCTTATTTTCCTGTAGTCTGTATTTTAAATTCCTTTTAGTTTGTTCCATATAAATTCTCCCACATTCTATTTTGTAAATCACAGTTTTATCTTCTAATTCTATTTTATCTTTAATATTTCTTTCTTTAATCTTATTTATAGGTTTGAAGGTGGGATAAAAGTTTTGTTGCTTCTTAAAAGCTTTAAATAACTGACCTCTTAATACTGGAATATAAGGTAAACCTAAAGTTTCTTTGTTTTTCTTCATAAACAGATCTTAACGTAATATTTTTTAACTAACATTGAACCTTTGTTAATTTCTTAAATGCTCTTTCTACTATATTTGGTTCATATTCTCTTTCAACGGCTATGTACTTAATTACTAACAGTTCGTTACATAAACCTTCCTGTCTTGAACATACATTTAAAGTTCTATAAACAAATGTATAAGATGTAGATTTTTTGTGTTTTTATATGACAACAATTTCAATAAAGTTTTTAAAATTGTGTAAGTATATAAAACGTTGATTTTAATTATTTAAGTTTTAGATAATAAACAAGTGCTGACCATTCATATTTATATTAATGATATGTAAGAAAAGATATAAGATCTGGCATTTGCATCCTTATTAGAACTGTATACTAGAATATTTACAGTTTTTATTTAATTTTCAAAAGGTCCCTAGACATTCAAAGTGCAAGATTTGCAACGAAATTATAAATTACTAACAAATGTATTTTAACATGCTATAATTAATGTTTCTGAATTGAATGCTTTCATTATGCAATCCACTAAAATAAGCCTCGATCCTGCCAAAGCCTTTTGTGGATTTGATGGCCCTCTACAACCTCACTGTTGCCTGTTCTTGATTGATATAGCTTAAGATCACCTGGGTTCTAACTAAAACCATTCTTGCATATCAAATCACATAATTACATACAATAAAATAAATTTAAAAATTAAACTTTTAAATTAATGCCAACTAAAATAAGTAAGTTGTTTCTGTAGGGAAAACATTTTACTCCAATTGTGAAATGGGTACCACCTGATGGCAGGGGGTTAACCTGCAAGGGACTGGCATCGTATGCATGGGGAGTACGACATTTGCTTGTACTGCTGAATGTACACTGTATTGTACAAACTCGTGTATTTGTGGGAATAATCAGAAGTTTTAATGTTTAGAGAGGAACCTACTGAACTAAATAATTAGTTCAAAAATACAGTAACAGCAAATTTTACAACAGGCAAGTTCTTATTTTAATTATTACAATGTTTCAACCCATAGTATAGGGTCATCATCAGGTAAAAGTTGCTGTTATTATATTTTTGAATCAGAAGTTTTAAATTCATGTTTATATATATATATATACATCTTCGAGAGGAGTTAATTCAAAGTAATTGATGTACGAAGATAAACATAAAGGCTAATAGAAACGTGTATAAAAATTATTTAAAAAACTTAGTGTTTTAGAAGAATTTTAAATATATCTGTCAGTAATGGAAATAGGCCTGTGGAATTTTAGAAAACAATTATTGGAAAAAAGTTCAAAAGAAGATACTTATGGTTTTGTCATAAGCAAAAACATCAAATTACTAACTTGTTTTTGTACTGTTCATTACTGGTGACATCTACATATTAATTAATTTTACATTTTTTGTGTGTGTGGGTGGGGGGGGGGGGGCTTTTTCAATTCTCCGTGTAAAGAACTGACCAAAACAGCTGTGAGAAATTACTGATGTTTTGCATAAATTATGCATAGGAAACTCGTAATAATTTGAGGAATCAATTACGATACTGATGATATCTTTGTTTGTGTGATTTATATGCTGTTAGGGAGGACTCTGTAACCAACGAATATTTTTAATACGTTAAACATATATTTATTATTACTGTATTTTTATTATGTGAAAGAAAACCATCTACAAAATTTTGTATTTGTCTTAATTTTCTTTTTATTGTTAACAACTTGTACATATAAAGATGGTGTAATTAAGGACTTTTAATCTCTTCATTAATCTATGCAAAATACTCTAAACAATAATTATACATTCCATATTTACATCACCTCTTGAAAATATAACAAGAGGTTCGACCTTTAACAAGTTATACAGCACAGGGAAAATAAGGCGATACATTCAAATACATAAATACATATAGTAGTAGTGAGAGTAAGAGAATGCAATGGATATATATAATTATGCACAGAGTGTGTGTGTGTGTGTGTGGAGCTGTTAATGGATGAAGAACTCGGTGCTTTATGAAAATGGGATGTTACTGTTGTGCTAATGATAATTGTGACCAGTTTTATAGCATATTTCATAATAAGTTGGATACATAGTAAAAAAGCACTAGACATTGACTAGCTTTTCCTTTCAAAAGGTTGTGTACGTGTGTGTGTGTACAGAGTGGATCATAGAGCTCCAACCTGAAATAATACTACCGATAATAAATTTTTCCTTATGTGTATAAAAGAATGAAGTTGCGTAGTTTAGATATCAACTTATCCTTTCAGACTCTAACTCCAGACTTGTGCAAGAAAGTTGCATGCGTCAGTTGTCAAGAGATGTCATATAGACATTGATAAAGTGTAGACGTTTGGAACGTTCATGATTCAACGATCATGCAAATACAAATTAATTATGAATAAAGATTTATTTTATTATTTATAGTTTCATTTTCCTATGGGAGGTTTGCCATAGCCTATCCCGTATGTGTGTGTCTTTATACACACAAACAAGAAAGGATTGAGAAAAAAGTGACTAAGTGAAAAGAAACACTGAGTGCTAAACACTGTGCCAACATTTCAGTTTTATTGATGTATAAATATACCACATCAGCCAGACAATGTCTTCATTATTCCCGAAAAGTATATTTGATTTAAATTTTTTGTAAATAAATTATCTTTGATTCATTGAAAGTTATCAAAAATGATAGAAAAACAACCTTTGGACAAAATTAAAACATTTTACACTAAAGTACATTACTCTTAGTAAAATGTACAAGTATTTTTTTTTTCCATGGCACACAATTTTTAAGTATGTATAGATTTATATAAATGCCACCTTCTTCACCTGTGTATTGGGAAAAACTTGTAGAATGAGATTCTTATCAGAAATTAAAGTATACATTTACATAAGTAAACTAACTGACTAGGTTACAACTCAATTTCTCAATACCCGCTTCACTCCATGGGTTAAATTAGAACAGCTACTGAGAAACTTTGAAAATAGATTAATCTGTCTTTTTTTTTTTTCCAGGATAAAGGGAAAATCTCTGTCACTGTTAAAGTTTTACATGAACACATTTTTCTGAGGCAGCATTTGTACAGAGAAAGACTGAAGCTCCACTCTGGTCATTTTTGTTTGCTAACAAATTCATGTAAAATATCTCTTGCCATTTCTAGGTCATTCCTAGCAATACCTAGAGCACGAATCACTGCATCTTGTGTATAGCCTTCCGAGGTAAGAGCAGCAATGTAATCCATATGAAGATTTTCGTAACTAACTCTATCATTTTCTTTGTTTTCTAAAGAGCTTGTGCCAAGTGGTTTCATCGGACGTGTTCTGAAAATACAGTAAGAATTATTTCAATACACAAATGTAATGATATAATAGCAAGACTAAACTGATTTTTATGACAGGAAAGTGGAAGGGCATCCATGAGTGATGTCTTTCATCCTTGACAAATCAATTATCTTTGGTCATCTATATCATTCAATTTATTTATGAATACAATTATTGTTTATTATCGCTACTAGATTACCAGGTTATAAGAGTGACAGTCGCTCCTGCTGTTTTGTAAAAAGTAGCTGCTTCACAAACTGGTTGCTGCCGATTACTTGCCTTCCCTTTGGTTCACAGATCAAAATTATTCTATAAAGGTATTTGTTTGCTGACAAAACCAAATGATCAACTAATGAGATGCATGTTCCTTTTCTATATCTAAGTCTCAGGGCATTGTATGTCTGCTTTTTTACAATACAATTTTTCTTATAATGGATTACAAACTTTCAGGGCTTCGTTAACTTTAAAGGAATGGACAACATAGAATAAATAACAATTGCTACATAAAGTCTAACTACAGAAGGTTACTATTGAAAAGCTTGTAGTTTAAAAAAAAACTATTTGTAATGCCTAAAAATGGTAAATAACTTCATTATGTTTTGTAATAAACGTGTGCACTATATGCAGGTATTTACAGAAATTTACCGCACTAATGTTGCTTTCTACTGACTCATTACAAAGATATTATCAAATTTTATTCAGAGAGGAATTCAATATGAATATAGCTGCATTAAGTATCTTTTTAAATCTGTACTCTGGTTGAAAAACATCGGCTTAGGACTAAAAACTTAATAATTAATTAAAGTGTGTTAACCTAATTAACTAATAATTGACAGGTATAGTTCTGCTGTACAAAATTATAGATTAACAGTTACTCACAGTTATATCTTAATCAAGCTATAAAATAGAAATGCAAGTTTAAGGAAATTAGGCTTAACTGTACAATTTTGTTACATTTGTATCAGTCCTTATTATAGCAAAGGAACTACATTACAAATATGAAAAATACTCTACAAAATATTCAGAGGCCAGGAAGGTGAACTTTCCTTCCCAATTCCTACCTCCTTATGTGCCCCCAACCACAATTCCTTTACCCATCTGTTCTTCAGTACCAAAACACTATCCCTGTAATGCATCAAAAAGTCCTATAATCATCGCTATTCATATATCTATCATTCTATATCTGAGGAAAGAATACACATTCTTTCAAGTAAACTCACTCATAATAGGACTACCTTTTCTCATATTTTGTGTTGTTCTGAGTTAAAGAGCTTTTGGCATTTTGGGATGAAGTTGCAGGACCAACAGGGAACTCGTGAACTTCCGCTGCTGCTTTTCCTGGTGTTAAAGAACTTGAAACTACTAAGTAAAGAAAAAAAAGGTATTGTTTACAGCTCTTATCAAATTCTAAACTTGTGAAAAACACAAACTGGTCTTACTGTTAGGTACAATTTTAAACTTAAACTGTTTTTAAATCTGTGGTATGATTATTTCTAGAATACAAACAGTATAAATGTAGAAACCCTAATATGAATACTTAACATCTGATGTTTTATCAAGGGTTTTGAAGGATATTAAGAATTAGATATTTGAGCCATTTGCTACTACCTTTTAGCAGTGGACAGGTGCTAGAAGGTTGAAAGTTGGATAATGTTACACCTCTTTTTAAGGGAGGTAAAAAAAAATTATTTCAGTATTTATAGCACTGTTTGTCTTACACCAGTGGTGGGAAAAATTTTTGAAAATCTTATAAATGGTGTTTTTGTACAAATATTTAACAAAGTTTAAAATGTATTTGAAAGTGTGCATGGTTTCACCAGGGAAAAATCTTGCCTAACTAATCTTTTGACATTCTTTGAAGAGGTTACTGCTTAGTTAGATGAGGGTAAGGGTGTAGATTTGGTGTATCAATATTTTCAGAAAGCATTTGAGAAGGTGCCACATGAAAAGCTTGTTAAAAACTAATTGTTTCTGTAGGTGTGGCTCATTGGAGAGAAAACTGGCTAGACTGAAGACAGCAGAGGGTTGTTATACATTGAGTTTAGCTACACTGGACTAATGTCACAAGTAGGGTACCTCAGGGCAGTGTTAGGACCTTTGCTCTTTTTGATTTACATCAATGACACAGATGAAGGAATGGTCAATAAATTGTTTAAATTTGCTGATGATATTAAGGTTTTGGGTGTAGCTTGCTGTGAGGAACTGCTGCTTTATGATAAGGTTTTGATTATTTGGTGAAATGGCTTTTAATTATAATAAATCTAAGATAATGTATATAGGATATTATAATTTTAATTATGAGTGTAATTTTGATGGGAATAACCTTAAGAGTGTTACAGAAAAATGGACATTGATGTTCTAGTTGATCAATCTCTTAAGCTATCCAAGCAATGTGCTGTTGGTATTGGAAAGGTAAATATGGTTTTAGGTTGTATCTACAAAAATATTGGATACAAGTCTAAAGAGATTATAATTTCATTGTATAGGTCATTGGTTGTCAAGGTTTTTATGTAGGCTGGGATTCTTTACGGCACGTGTCAGGGACTTGTTGGTGATAAATTCGAACAATAAACGGACAGCTTACAATCCACTTGTTTTAAAATGATATATTCAAAACACGTTAAATGTATATACAAAACTCATTACACTATTGATTATCACAGTTGTATCCAGTGCTTTAAATAATTGTCTCCTTTTTGTCAAAGTACACACAGGTGGGTTCAATTACTTTAGAACACCCTTTGACAAGACAAATTATGAATCTTTTATCTTTTGTTACAATACCACCGAGTAAATTCACTTTAGATAATGCCTGTTATGGCAAAACTAATATAAAATGCATACACAACATATGACTCATAGAGAGTAATGTAACTAAACTTATCACAACTATTACTTTTAAAATAATTTCTTTTAACACTTTTGTTAAGAAAACTAAATTATCATTAAACATTAAATCACTAAATAAACTAAATAATAACTCTTATACTAAACAGTCTTGTATAACCAACACTGGTTGAACCACATTTGGAGTATTGTGTTCATTCTTAGGTATCTTACCTTCAGAAGGACAGATAACTGTTGGAAAGGATTCAGAGAAGGGATACTAATATAATACCTTGTACAGAAAAGTTATCATACAAGAATAGGTTGAGATCTTCTGGAAATTATTTTCTCTTTGAAAAACAAAAGTGAGAGGGGATCTGATTGAGGTGTTTAAGATTGTTAAGGGAATCAATACTGTTGATGCATCATTTTTTTTCCATACTTAATGGTAGGATTAGAGGACACAAATATAAATTTTGGCAAGGTAGGAATCATCTTCATCAAGAACAGCTTTATTTTTCTAACAGGGTGGTTGGTCTTTGGAACAGGTTGCCTTCAAATGTGGTGTTTAAGATTGTTAAGGGAATCAATACTATTGATGCATCATCTTTTTTTCCATACTTAATGGTAAGATTAGAGGACACAAATATAAATTTTGGCAAGGTAGGAATCATCTTCATCAAGAACAGCTTTATTTTTCTAACAGGGTGGTTGGCCTTTGGAACAGGTTGTCTTCAAATGTGGTAGATGCAGTTAATTTAAGCGATTCAAAAGAAGGTTTGATAGATATATAAATATTTGAATGATAAGGGCTGGTTTTGAGTGTTTTGTTTATAACTAGAGGATGAGATGGACCAATAACTTCCTTGTTGTCTTTAAATTATATGTATATATATAAAATTCATACGTTAAATACTTTGTTAAAATTTTCATTAGAACTTGAGTTTCAATTTCCAAAGCAAGCACAGTGGGTGTAATCCATTGTCTAACAAACAAAACCAACTAAACCTTGTTAGATGGTGAATATTATTTGAAAATATATTGAAACTTTTTACACATTTAGATGATACATATGCAATCTCAATCTACTGAATTTAATTGATTTTAACAGATATATAAAATAAACCATTCTGTTGAGAGATTAAGTGATTTATAAAAATCGTTACTACATTATTTTCCTTAATTATGAGTTATTTAAAATCTACGTTTTCTTATTAAATATTCAGGACAAATGAAGCACTTTAAAAAATTGATTTCTACATACCATGCCCTATATTTAAGTCTGTATTAGCATAACTTGGTTCTTCTGTGATTTCTGTGAGTTCTGCATAATGAATTGATTGGGTGGTAGAGGGTGTTGTCATCATGGGAGAGGGTGCCCTTGCAACATCTGGAGTTGTTAAGCCTAACCCAGGTAGGTTGGAAGGTTCCATGAATGGAGTGGAGGTGAGAGAGGAGCATTGTTGGACAGTATTTGCAGAGCTAGACGAGATGGGAGTGAGAGTAATACCTGGAGATGGGCCTGGCCAAGTTCCATATGAACTGCTGATCAGCACATGGTTGCTTGGAGAAGGAAAGGAAGCCACAGGTTTTGTAGTAGTCATCGAAGGTTCTGTTTCCTCGTCATCATGTTTGATTTCTGTGTAGGAGATGCTCACACCTCCAATAAGGACATATGTGCATTAACAAAGATTCAAGTTTGTATTTTTATCACTACTGTCTATCTATCGAAAAATCTAAATTTTACCACTTCACGAGTTCTTTTTACAAGTAAAAGATAAAATAATCTAAATAAACTGAAACGTTTAAACGTGATGAAGATTTTATCACATAAGTTTACAGTAATAGTTTATTCACAAAAAATACACTATTGCCTCTCATTACATTCATAAGAAAAAGAAATCTTCTCATATACCTTAAAAGTAGCAAAAAATAATGTTTCCTTTAATATATGTACATATATTAGTTGTCAAGTTCTTTTTCAAGAAGAAAAGTTTGCTACAGTATTTTACAAAGAAATAAATTTACATTACTTATATGTTAATGCTAAACTTTAACAACATAATTTGTGATTTTAAAGCCTCTGAACCTCAGCCTTTTAATTTCCATTCAATAAGCAAATTAAAGCTTGGATGTTAAAGAAAAGTCAAATTCTCAAAAATATGCCCTACTTTTCCTCATGATGAACAGTTTTACAGATAGAATAACGAAAATTTTAATCAGAAATTTATTCATATTTTCTTGTCAGTCTTTAATTGTTGATGATAATAAGTTAACAATAATTTGAAATTTCATTCTTACCAGAGTTTTCTGGTGAGCTCTGTGGAGTGACAGATATCCTGGTAATTATCCCATTTATATGTTCTTCTGTACTTGGATTGCCTAAAAGGTGGTGCCTAGAATAAATTAAAAAAGAATAATTATTGTATAATTATATTTGATGTTTATAAATCTAAGCAAATTACAAATAAAAGATTTTCTGTTTGTTCAATTTTGCACAAAGATACTCAAGGACTATTAGCACTAGCCATCCCTATTTTGAAGTGATAGACTAAGAGTTAATTAATGCAGCTAGTCAACATCATCCGCTGCTAACTTTTTGGCTACACTTTAACAACAAATAGTGGAATTGACCATCATGTTAAAATGCTCCCACAACTGAAACGGTGGATATGTTTGGTGACGAGTTTTGATCTCAAGACCTACAGATTGCGAGTTGAGCTCCCTAACCACAAGTCCTCCAAATATAGGTAGAGAAAAACTAAGTTAAATTATTTCAAAATTTTTTATTGTCACAGAGGTTAAGAGATGTGCTTTTGCCTAAGCACAAGTCTGCTTTTATGTGTATAACAAAATTATAGCTTCTGATAAGTTTCACTGTGAATTCTTTATAGTTTTGTATACATAATTAAATAAGTTTCATTGTAAGTTCTTTGTAGTTTTGTATTCATAATTAAATAAGTTTCATTGTAAGTTCTTTGTGGTTTTGTATACATAATTACATAAATCTCATTGTAAATTCTTTGTAGTTTTGTTTAAACATACATAAAGTTGTAATAAATATCTTTAAAAGTAAGAACACCACTTATTTTTAATGTAAATTATTAATAATTATTAAATCCTAAACACACCTTGGAGATGTGCCTGGGGACTGCCCTGGTGTTTCTGTAGGTGATGATCTTCGAGGAGGAATAGGTGGGGGCATGCCAGGAGGTCGACGAATTGACTGGGGAGAAGTTCTAGGAGATATCATAGGTGATCTGCTGTTTGACTAGAAATCAACCAGGTATAATAATAGCATATTAATATTTGTTATCATGAAAATAGCTCAACTTTAATAAGTGTAGTTTATTTAACAATATCACATCACTTAAAGAAAAAGGCACAAGGCTGAGGAAAATACTGTTCATTATTAAAATCACGGTTACAAATTCCAAAAGAAAATTGTTTATTAATTACTAATTATGGCTTCTGTCTTTCTCAAGCATTAAGTGTCTGTTGTTGTTGTTGTATTCGCAAATTCAAATAATAACTTAGACAAAAGAACATGGTACAATAAAAGATTATTTTACAAGTCAGTGCACTAACTATTAAAAAGGTATAAGCATCATGTACTGAAAAATAAGGGGGGGGCATTATACAAGTTTATAAATTGTTTAATCACATCAGTAGACATAACATAACATAATGTTTTGGGACAACATTGGACCTATTGATCCATTTCAGCTGTTCCATCCTCTAAACTAAATTAAAATAATTTTAAAAAATCTTAAAGCCAGCCCTGGATGTTGAAGTTTGAATAACAGAAAATAACCAAACTATTCTGTCTTCTGAAGAAAACTAAAGATTGGATAATCATTATGGTGACTACTGCATTGTGATGATGTAAGAGAAGAAATGTTTAACATACTGCTCTAACATTATGTAAACGTAACTCATATGATCAACGGAATGGATCATTGTGACGAGGACAGAATGAATCTCTTTCTTGAAAAATGTCAAACTTGTAATTACAAAGCACACTCTCTCTCTGCAGCTGACCAATCATAAAACAGGCATACAATTGTGGAAATATTTCTGTTCTACATAGCAGTTTTAAAGATATTTCTCGTATTGAAAGTCAAGCAGGACACAAATACATAATCCATAAAACAGTATCCAAATTCTTTTACCAATCAAGCTACAAAAGTAAGAACTCGGGCCGAATTTTCCATACAACCTCATATGGAGTTAGTGTGTTCTAAAACTATAACTCAGAAATATATCAATTTTGTTGATATAGGATACATATTAAGCAAAATTAAGATATGTAGTATTGCACATTATTTCAGTTGTTGTAAATGTGATATCTGTAATATCATTACAATAAACTACAGAAATATGATGAAAAGTGACAAAAATAAAAAAAATTATGATTATAAGTTAGAAAGTGAGAAAGAAAAAAAAAGTATTATCCATTCTTAAACGTTTCATCAAATATATGTTTGTTTGTATTTAATGCATTCACATGTTGAAAATAACTAAATGTGAAAATCAGTAAAATATAGGTAAAAATTCTATTTGTGATCACCGGTAAAAGCTATAAAAGACCATATCTAAAAAGTTTATTATAAACATGTGCTAAAGAAAACATCCAAATGAAAGACATTTTGTATAATGAAACTAAACAACAAAAGATAAAAAATATTGTTCTACTTGAGTCACTAGCGTTGTTTAGATGATCTGGTGGAGTGTGGATGAGAAAAACAACAGTGTTATTGGTCATAGAATTAAGCATACCGTTACTGGATATAAACCTTATAAATTAGTTATAGCTGATTTATTGACAGGTACAATACCTGGAGATTTTATACTTAAAAAGTAAAAACAAAACGGAAGATACACTAGTACTTTTAAAAATTTACAGGAAAGAGAACACAGAAACATTAATGTTTCAGCAGAATTAAATGAAGATGGTGTATGTTTTGATACGCTATAGAGCTCAGAAAATAAAAGTAACTCATGCTTTAATAACTCACGAGTGAACCAGAAATTCCAGATTGGCATAAAGCAAAGATCAGAATTGATGGTGCTTGTATCGTATAACTGTACAAAATCCAAGAGGATTAAAAAAGAGTCACGACAGTAGTTAATAAGGTGTAATGCAATTTAGAAAATAATCATATAGAGTTGTAGCTTTTAAATAAATGAAACTCATTGGTGTTTAAAACACCAATCAAAACTATCCGTCTGAGGAACTTAATTGCCTAATTATCAAGAACATTTGAAACAGTCTAGTCTCGGTAAATAATCAGCAGACAAATCAGTGATACCATAAAAACGGTACGAAAGTATAATTATCAACACTTCATGAAGAGTGCAAATCTGAACCAAGACCTGATTTAAAACATGGTGAAAAAGAATTAGATTTCAAGCTGGGTTTTGTGTAGTCTGTAAAATCCTCTTTTTCATGCAATTCTCCATTATTGAATATTGATCATCAGATGTTTATCAGTTTCTAAGGGAGAATATATTCATACTTTATCTCACAATGTGTTCCTTGCATGAATTGCCGGGTACAAATAATCCCCATTTTTAATCTCATCTGCATTTTGACGATCACTGAAAAATTGAGTCTAATGCTGCAAGAACACCCAAACATGTTATTATAATTTTATATTCAAACCTCTTTTCATTTGCTAGTGTTTCTTCAACACGAACCTTGCTACAGATCACATAATGAACTGCTACTGACTCATGGCTTACTTAGGCCTACATGTGTTATTGACTTCAGAAACTATCACATCCTGAAACATTTCTGGCAATACTCATGCATTAATATGGCAAATATACATTTATCAAGTTTACCTATACTGTATTTTTCTGTTACCTCAACAAACAGGTCTTTAAAGGTACTGTATTCATTATTACAAGCATTTTATAAAAATGTATGTTTCATAAGGACATAACAAATACTTTAGAACTTACCCGACTACTTTCTGCTGTTTCAGAACGGGGAGATAATGCCAGTGCTTGTAAACATGATGTCCAGGTGTTTGGATCCTAAATGAAATTTTTTAAATTCCACAGTTAATTCAAAGTCTTTGACAAATAACACTTTGGGGGGAGGGGGGAAGAAAACAATGATAGTTTGACTGATTTCTTCTTCGTAAATGATGAATAGGTATAGATATATAAATTTACATTTGATAGAAAAAAAATATTTTAAATGTCTTGGTAACTTTTAACAATAATCTGAAAGTCAGCAAATCCAAAATGTAAGTGATGGTTAGAGTGAAACTTAAAAAGAGGACTGTCATTTTTGTCGCTATCATTCATTTCACTGTTGCAGTTATATTACTTCAGACTGTCATTAAATTGGCAGCTTCTAAAATAAAGAATAGCATACAAAATTATTCATGGAATAAGCTGAACATCCGAAATAAAGTCTTCAATACAACTAACATTATATATTATGGACAATATAAACCAAAGTCATAAAAACAGTGATACCTAATTGTCTCTAGATACTAAGAAAGCAAACGATTTTTATAGTGATATTTTTGTTGAAGATGACTAGAATTTTTTCAGATCAAGTAATTCACGAACACTGGTCATCATTAAGTTGGGGCACTCTAGCATAAGGGGGACAGTTTTAAGTCAAAGCGTTTATTAATATAACTTCACTGTTTCTTGTACTTTGCAAGAAAGGATTTAGCTCAATATAATGGCTAATTGTATATCCTGATGCTCTGGATGAGTCTTTCCAAGTTTTCAATAGTCATTATGTAATAATACAAATGGAAGAATTTGTCTCCAAAGTTTTCTGAGTTGTCAAATTTATCAAATCAATATGCAGTGTGTTCACCCACGCCAAGTTTTTAATCGGCTTACCAACACAGAATTCATCTTGTTCTGTCTGGAATATTATTTTTTCACTGTTTACAGTTAATTAGGTTTTAATATAATGATGTATATACACGTACTGGGTTGCCCATTATGTTATTTTCATGGCGGATCTTTTCACTTTGATTAGTATTTACATTAAAAGGCTCATAAGGGCCATGAGATTGAATATTTCATTACAGGATAAGCATTGCACTTGTCAAATGGTAAAAGTTTACGATTGTAAAAGGTGTGTGAAGGAAAAAAGATGGGCTGAATGCCTTACTACTCCTCCCTCTTACCTAAACTGCCTTTGAAATAAACTTTTTTCTTTATTTGATTGTTGCACCATAAATTCTCAACAATTTGTTACACTGTAATGCTATGTTTTTGAGCACATTAAGTGTATTTCTTTGAGGTTTGGTGTAGAGCAATGATCTCTGTTGTCAAGCAAATCTAGGATGTTACTTTTGTAAAGAAATTCTTCTAAGTTATTTTTAAACTGTGCTAACCTGCACTCTAGGGGTAATCAATATAACCACAAATGTGTTTTTTTTTATGCTCGTCAAACATTACAGACAGCTCAGTGCAGCATAACTTAAGTCACAAACGTGTAATAAACAACTTTACAAAGTTTTCATCACAGCTGAACTCCTTTTTTCTTACAAGAAATACTAAACCTTAAGATATGGTGATCTACTATAAAAAACATGTTTAGTGTACATTACAGAAACTAACTTATTTTGATGTAATATTAGCAATATTTTAGTATGATGGATGAGATGAATGGATTTCAAATAAAAAATGTGAGATAAATGACTTCTAGGTACAAAGAATTGAGACAAATGATACAATCACAAATATGTTATTGTGCTGCAGTTGGTAGCACAATGTTAATGCACTTACTCAAAAATGCAATCAAAAGTAAAAGGAACAACCTAGTTTTGGTTAAATATGCTATTAATTGCAGAGTTCTTAATGGAACTCTATCTTTGAACCTGTATATAAGACAAGGGATAAAATCAGGCATTGTTTTGAGAGTACGAAGTATCATCTCATATACTGGCAAATACAGTATATTTGATTGATGCGTTATTTGAAAATCAATATACCAGCATAAATGTCACATACCCAAACAGTTCATCTATTGTTCAAAAATTGGAACAATACAAGACTACATACTGTAGTCACTGGTTTTGCAGTATGTGTGCTAAATAGCTTTAACTGAAAGATGGTGATTTAACATTTAAGGTCTGTGTATATTTTCTTGAAAGTTTTGTTTCACAGTTATCCTCATAATTTTATTTGACACTAGTGATTAGATAGGTCTTTTAATAAGTTCACAAGTTAAATTACAATGAAGATTGGAACTTTTTATTTATTGGTGCATTCATAAATATTTGTTTCTATATCTACTGGGCATTTCAAACATTGGCGATCATAGCACCATCCAAGCTTCACCTCATATAAGTTGCTTAGGCAAAGTATTGTGAATGCTAGTTAGCCTTTTATGGGTTGGATGGATCAGACTGTAATTATACAAATTTTATTTTTTAACTCTGATTGTAAAGTGTTAAAATTATACTTTCATAATATGAAAAATACATACTGAAAAAAAATGGATTTCAATTTGATTGAAATTTACTTTATCATTAAAAATTATAGGTTTTCTAGCAAATTTTATAAGTTTTAATTCATTTATTAACTGTGATGAACCTCCCCGAGGCACATGATGTATGTCTGCAGGCTTACAACATTAGAAACCAGGTTTCAATACTTGTGGTGATAAGAGCACAGATAGCTCATTGTGTAGCTTTGTGCTAAAACTACAAACAAACAAACTGTGATGAGTTTCAACTCCACATTTTAATTCAGTAACAGTTCTTGTAACAACTGTACCAAAGGCATGGTACCCTGTGAAGCTCGACACAAAACTTCGGACATCATGTGTACCCAATATTTCTAAACAGCTCTAGTTTTAATAATTTAGACCCCCAAGAAATGTTTTGTCATGTAAACTGTTCCAAGCATTACTGCAAGTTTTTTCTTTAAAGTTAACTACATGAATCTGTACCTCTCAAAATTAAACGTTTTAAAAATTTGTATAATTCAATATTATGTTTTAAAATTTCTACCACTTAATGTTTTAAAATTGTTTTGAAACTGTGATTTCTCAGTCAGAATGAATAAAATTCAAGTTTTCTACATGATTTAATATTTCTTAATTTTTAAAGTTGCCATTGATATTCAGGACAAAAAAAAACAATCTAATTCCTAAGTATCTTGAGGAAACTATGTAGGAAGAACTTTACCGACCTAACTGAAAGCTTATGTGTACAAATATTAACATAAAAATCTAAAGTACTAGCTTGTAATAGCTACTTACCTTCGAAGCAAGCTCTGATTGAATTGAATATCCCATCTTTCACAGTACTTCTAATACTGCACATCGATGAAATTTGCCTGAAGCCAAGCAGTTACTTTAAGTTGGGATATGACAACTACTAACAGCTAATGACAAGTCTCAATGTCAACTACCCACCTTCATCTACATTACTCAAACCTGCCATGATTAGACTGGCTATGAAATGCTAATATGTTACACTGGAGAATATTTAAACACCAAATCAGAGGTTGACAGAAAAATTCTTATGAAAGGTACATATATATACTTAGGAGATTAGGTTGTGACAAAGAACATTTAAGCCACTAAGAGATTTAGAACTTTTGGAAATTAATTATAACTGAGAATAAATTCAGAAATAAATGTAAACAATTCTAAAGCAGTTGCTTAAACCAGAAGTGATGATTGATCCAAAGAGAAATTAACAGTTTACTTAAAGTTTATAAATGTATGTTTAGAATGTTTTAAGATCCATTGAAAACCTCAGGAAAGAGAGCCCACTTGTAAACAGATCTTGATTCAAACAACAGAGCTGCCAAAAGTTTCAGACACCTGAAGATAAAAATTGAGTAAATGGGCCTACAAGTTTACACACGAAAAAAATCATTTACCTTCAAAATAAGATTTGAGAGCCTTGTTAATTCAGCGGTTAAAGATTGAAGATTTTGAACTCCACAACATACAAGTCAACACAACTTACAAAAAATATTTGTTAGAACCCTACCACATATCTCATGGAGATTACCACTGGTAACAGTGTGTCATACGTTGTCGTAAACGTATGAAGCAAAGAGCAGGTAATGCACTGTGCAAGAGGAGCACCAATTATGATAGGGTGGCAGTTGCCATCCCCCCCAGAATATTAGAAGAACTTGACAACAAAGCACCAGCATTACCAATCCCACATATTATTAGATTTTAAATTTAGAAAAAGTCAAAGAGCTTCCAGGGATCTCCATAAGAATCCCCTCATCCCAATCTCCAATGATTTTGCTGGTGTACAGTGACAAGCGGTTGATATGATCAAGAGGTAAGCAAGTTGTTACTAAATTCACTTTTTTGTAAAGTTTTAATATATTAGTTACATCTGATACTTTATGCACTTATCAATTAAGTTCTGTTTCAGATTATTCTGATATTACAGTATTATAGCTCTACAAAATTATAATGTTTTATTCCCAAATATAAATATCCTTAATCATTCCTTGTTAAAATTTGCAAGAATCCTTCTGTTTATTAATCAAAAATATATCTGAATTATATTTAAATAAGGCTACATTCTGTTAAGCCTAGAGATGATATAAAAAAATTTATCAATCCAGCAATTTTAAGAAGTTGTATTCATATTGTTAAACACATACTCAAATCATCAAAAATGCCAGATATTTTTAGAGTTAATAGTATTTTGTATTTTCACCTATTTGGTATCTGAGAATGTACCATCAATTGTAATTATTTTATTCATTATTAGATGTAATGTCCACTAGTGTTGCATAAAATGTGCCAACAACAATAAAACTCATTTTTTTACAATTAAGATACAATGTACTGATTATGGCCTATTATTATTTTCTTGTGGCTTTAATGAAAAGAAAAACTGACCTGTTCCCCCACTTATTACACAGACATTTGGAATTCCCAATATTTATGCAATAAGGATTCATAATTATAGAAAAAACAGAGAATACTACCTTGTAACAAGTATGGTTTTAATATAGAGTACCATCTTGTAACCAGTATGGTTTTAATATAGAGTTCCATATTGTAACCAGTA